CCCGGTCTGTAGGTCTCGCTTCAGTTCCGACGAGGAGAACCGCATCCCGTCTCGACCAGGCACCCCCTATCCACGAGGTCGTCAACGCGAACCACGCCACCCACGTCTCCCGCTCATAGAACGACTTGAGTCGCCACCCCACGAAGAAGTCGGAGCTCAGGACACAACCACGAGCGACGGATCGGACGAGTTCTTCAACGCCGTCTCACAGGGCGACTTTTGCCTCCACTGCATCACCACCGGCCACAACTTCGCCAACTGCCCGGTACGCGTATGCATGTACTGTCAACAGACCGCCCCTGGGCACGTGGACTTTGCCTGTCCCTATCGCGACGAGCGTCGTGAATCCTCTCGGTCGCAATCCCCGTCGCCCGTCGACCGCTACGAGTTGCTCTACCCCGACGAAGGAGACGGAGAGTCGTGAAGTCGAGGACGACTTCAGGTCCTAGAAGGGGGATTATGTTACAACGGTCCGGGCGTCTCGGACATGGACTTTGATCGCACCTCACCTATGCCTCACCTACGCCTCATGTTACTGATGTGGATGGACTACACGCGGATACGGTACAGCTACGGTGCGGACACCATGAGGCAGCGCCTCATTGTTACGGTCCCGTAGGCAGCAGGCTTGCCTCCCCTAGTACGCACCGTTTCAGCATGGCTTCTATGTATATTAGGACCCCTGGAGAGCTGAGGATGGTCCTCAGCTCGACCTGGTTATCTATCACCTTCACCCCTGAACTCGAGTCTCCTCTCCTGCCTGCTAGGCCCTTGCACCTGAACGTTACCACGACCCTCGAAGGTGTCGTCTTAACAATAACAACGCTGAGAGCCCGCGGTACGTAGGAATCGGAGCCTTCGTGACATAATCACTCACATAATAAACCAAAGCTTTAGCTCCTTGACCCGAACCAATATGTTTGATGTCCATATTGCACTTCATCAGGAATATCACTAAATCGTTGTAGTTAGCGATGCGCGGATGAAGCCTGCGCAATAGAACACCCCCGCTCTCCTCGTCAACACCGGTCCGCTCACGGGTGCTACCGTCTATGCGCATCCGACAATGTGCATCGTCGTGAGGCTGCCCTCGCCGCAAATGCTTCCAACACGTCTCTGTATGCTCATGCCACTGATATTCCTTTACCAGATCATTGACAAACCGCTCATACTCCAGGCCGAAAGACGCATCCGATAACTCATCGATGCGAGGCGCGGGAAGAACGCCCGGATTCGACGCGCCACCACCATCTCCGCTTGGCTTGGAGAGAGGAAGCCCTTCTGGTTCACGCACAACATCGGTCTGTCCAAGCAACTCGCACTTTATAAGAGACTCTAACCACCGAAATAGACCACCTGCATAGGCGTCAGACGACGCCATCGCGTCTCGCATTTGTTGCGGCGCAGGATGCCCACGCAACCAAATTAACAGGTGACAATGCAAAGTACCACGCCCTTGTGCTTCGACTGTCCCATAGTAGGCCACGCACTTCCCGAATAACCCTACACCAGGCCGATCGTATCTTAAAACGATCTTCAAGAAGTTCGAGATCATGACATCGAACACGAGAGCACAAGCGGCCGGGTGATTCGCCACGAGAACCCGACGACGCCACTCAGTAAGTTCTAAACCGGCCTCAACGTCCTCCAGCCTGATATCATCGCCAGAATACAACCGGACGAGGGGGTTGTTGACGTCCGAGGGATTCAAGGTAACGAATAGAGCTGGTGTTCCCTTCAGATAGATCAAACTTCTGATCTCATTCCGCATCGACAGCTTGTATGCTGCCGTACCCGGCAAATCTCGACCGACCAAGTTGACCTGATTCAGCACACGCAAGACTGACCGTTCATCATCGCTCGTCGGCTCATAAAAAGGGTCGATAGTATACGACCGAATAAGACGGTGGAGCACATCGACATTGACGCCCAACAGGCTCTGCACAACATCGGTCTGATGTGCTGCCTTCACGCGAAAGTTCACCGACTCACACACACGCCTCTTTCGATAGATATTGTAATAAACGAAAGAGAAATCCGCATCACGCTCGAACGGCGAGCCGTCGACCCGCAAGAGATACGCCAACTGATCCTCCAACGTCAACGGACGCGACCTCATCGGCTCATGGAACCCGCCAATACCCCAAGGATCCAGATACGGATAGAGCCAGCTCAACAATGCAGGATTTTCGAAATCAGACACGAAATCACTACCAGCTTGCGAACAGACAAAACGGCCGCCAGAAAGACAATGGGTAAGTGCCCGCATCTTGAGCTGATCATAGGTGACCGGCGAGTCACTGCTATCCGAGTAGCCAACGTTCTCCAAAAGGATACCGCCATCTTTGCCAGGCGGACCGGAACGCATCGCAGCAGGTTCATCCATATTCGCTTCATCGTGCACGAATCCTTTGGTCGCATCCAAGAACCCCACTTCCATGGAACAAAGCACCCCATCATCGTCCGCGACACGATCCTCCCCGAACAAAAGGTCCAGATTGCGTGTGCTGAGACCCCCGAAGTCGCGGCACACAGCGTAATGTACGTTATACTCCAATAAAAACTCAATCATCCGTTTCACACGCGACTTACGGACTGTAACAGGTCCAAGCCTCGCAATAGTTTCCCGAGTCGGACGTGTCTCACCGACAAAGACCGCACACAGCGTATCCCGCAAGACGTCTTCGGACGGAGGAAGCACGTTACACAACCTCGTAGCGTCCTGCGGCATCACAAGTACGTTCCCTTTCACACACCCCTGCGCGACCGCAGCTTTCGTGCCAGATAAATAATGGTCCTTGACGTCGCTAAAACGGAACGACACTCTACTCGCGCGCGCCCTGGACACAAGTACTTTCTCGCAGCGCGTAGACACATCGAATGCCTCCCGCACAGCCGACGGCAGTTCCGCATACCCATAGTACAGCCAGTTCGCAAGCGCGTACTTGGGCATCTGTCTCCCCTTCACCAAGTCAGGATAGCACTCACCACACACCAAAAGGTCACTACACGTATCAACGTCCACCATCCCTTTCGGATCCAGTATCGCGCCGTCGTACTCGGTCAAACAATACGTGGTCGGCAGGACATAATCCGGCAGATGATCATTCCGAAGCAACGACAGATCAATGTCCCGAGCGTTCACTAAATATGAGTCTGCCCTGGTAGTCTTGCGAGCGCAAACAGCACACACAGACAGCATGACATTGTGAGTATGCATCGCATCCTGCCATTCAGAAATAATGCTCCTCCGCAGCTCATCGCTCGCCACCGACATGTAAGACGTGCTCGTGTCGGGTAGAGAGCTATACAAACGATCACGCGCCTTAGCGATCTGGTCGTTGCCGCGGGGGTGGGCCAACCGCCGAAAACAATAAATACCCCGCAAACAATAAACCGAACACTCGTGTAAGACAATCTTCTCGAATAAAGCTGATGCTGTATCCCTCAAAAGCGCTCGCACGCCATGTTTGTCACACATGGCACGTAGGTCGCCGGCACGCCAAAGATCGAACATGTCGAGAACAACACGCAGGTCTGCATTCACAAAGACATCGCCCGGGTCAAATTCGGCGACCGCAACACTGCACAACTCATCCCGCGCGTACACACCATGGAACGAGTGAGTCCGATTCAAATTTACCCCCACGACATCAACTAAGCGAATGTATCTCGCCCGACCACCGGGAGCGTCGACATAAGCTGTAAACCGAAGTCAAACACCATCCGGCAAGCACCCGACAAAGGTACACGACACATACCCATCAAGCACTCCCCATCAACGGGAACGCTAGAGACAAACTCCGGCCAAACATCTAAACACAGCCCGATATTCAGCGCTCGACGCGTCATAGCGTGACAGCAAAGCGACCAACCTAGCTGACCGGAAGCGGCGACACTCTCTGTAATAGTAAAAGGTCAGCGGCGACACAACGAGTCAACCGCAACACTCACCGGTGTCGAACGCAGGAGGACCGTCCGATGGCACCCAAACGGGCGCACCTTGGACAATCATAGGAGGCTGATAAAGAGAAGACATCAAGGATGCAAGAGTAAAATGCGAGAGCTCGACGATATGGAAGAGGTATGGAAGGCACAGCTCTACTCGGACACAACCCAATTTATAGGAATTTTGCCGCGGGATGTAGTCAACAACACGCACGAATCACGCCGAGAGAGGAATTAGGACACTACCATAACGCATGCAAGCACGCATATACGGCACGGCCGCCTCAACAGCTCTGATCGCGTATCCGAAACGCGTCACGTAGCGGCATATGTTCAATGAAACTACGACACACCACGCATGAAACACAACCTCGGACGGAAACCCACCTCAGCCATGCCATTCTGAGACTTGCACGCAATGCTGCGACAGCGGCAACTCACCGGTACGTAAGTTCTTTTAGCTTCGCCTCAACCACAAAACAACAAAACGTAAACACGCGCAAAGCAAACACAAACACGCCCGCACACCTTGCTAAGTGAGCCATATCCGGATCACCCGAACTGCAATGTCCGACGCCAGAGAGAGAGAGAGAGATACAGCCGCGGTGTGTCAGTGTCTTGATTACGCCACCACTTCTACGCATGATCCTTACATCTGCGCGTCGATCACAGAAACACGAGGCCCGCCACACCCGACAGCGCGACCATGAAACACTATGAAATAGCCATCGCAACGAGGGAAATGCCACACCAAAACAACACGCAGACTGAAACCGCTCCAACATCTCAGGGCGCAGCTACGGGACACATCCAGCACGCACGGCACACGGAGTAACACCCGAAGAATACAAGTATCCAAGTACATAAAGGGGGCGCAATGTACCCAGACGTCAGCGCGCCACCGTCTCATAAACCACCACCACCACCACCACCACCGCCGCCGCCGCCGGGAGGTAATTATTAAGGCGGACCGGGAGTATAGCAAAGCTCGCTCATTCCTCTCATACTCATCAGAAAACCACATCGACCCAACCATGACAACGCCTACAAACGACGCCATTCTCAAGCCATCTACATCTCGATTCATACTTTACCCTATCAAATACCCAGAGGTAAGGGGTCGCGAGTACGCAACATCCCGCTAGACTAACACAACGCAACCTCACGTATACACAGATATGGGACGCGTACAAGACGGCGCAAGCGTCGTTCTGGACCGCCGACGAGATTGACCTCAGCGCCGACGTCAGACACTGGACGTGCCGCCTGACCGATGAGGAGCGCGCCTTCATATCGATTCTCCTGGCGTTCTTCGCGGCATCTGACGGCATGGTCAACGAGAACCTCCTGGAACGATTCTGCGCCGAAGTACAGATTCCTGAAGCCCGATGCTTCTACGGGTTTCAGATCATGATGTAAGTCGCAGTCGACGACCTACGTCGACATGCAATGGCATGACTCATAGACTCACGAACATCCTGACAGGGAGAACATACACGCTGAAACATACGCTAGCATGCTGACTACGCTGATACAGGACAATGCTGAGCGCGATCGCCTCTTCTCAGCGACATCGACTATCCCCGCCATCAAAGCAAAGGCAGAGTGGACGATGCGCTGGATAGAAGACAAGCACCAACCATTTGCGGTCCGGCTGATCGCGTTCGCAGCAGTCGAAGGCATATTCTTCTCGTCATCGTTTGCAGCTATCTTCTGGCTACGCAGCCGTGGTCTTCTGCCGGGTATCTGCCACTCAAACGAACTGATTGCCCGAGACGAGAGCATGCATACAATGTTCGCGTGTCTATTGTACAGCCAGCTCCAGACAAGGGCGCCGAAAGCAACGGTGCGCGCGGTCATCCGAGAAGCTGTGGCGCTGGAGAAGTCCTTTTTCGCGGGTACGTTGCACTCACAACACTGTTCAACTAACGGTAATCAAGCCCCACCCAGATGCACTACCCACCCGCCTGGCAGGCATGAACACCGAGCTGATGGGCGACTATGTGGAGGCCGTTGCAGACGACCTCCTGAGACGCTTAGGCTGCCGTCCCATATATGACAAGGAAAACCCGGTACGTACGAACACACACACGAACATCCCCGCCATCGCTAACTTCACCCACGTTCATACCACGCAGTTCCCATTTATTACCAGCTCCGCGCTGGACGGACGAACAAACTTCTTCGAGCGACGCGTATCGGAATACAGCGCGGTGTCGCACATGCACAGCAACGCCATCAATGCCGACTTGGACCGGCCTCCGCGCGAGTCCGATTTGTAAGTGATTCGCGTACACATGCATAGCGGTCACTAAGGACCTACTAGCATTCTCCTCGACGACTTCTAATGGCCCTCGCCTGACAACGACGCTGAACAGGGGCACGCTGCATAGTACATACCACTACCGCCCGCTCCGCATATAAGAGTACACCCCTCGCATCTGCTCCCACAATTCATATATATATATACACTGCACCCACACAAGCACGCGCCCCATCGATTCTCATTTCAAGACATCGCCTACATCCCAACGGCGCACGCGCACATCACCTACTCCACAAATGAACTTACGTTCGTGGATTCACGAATGCAGCTCGGATAGCACTGGCAGTATGGCCATGCAGAACCATATTCATCCACTCCAGTCGCCTCAGGCGCGTCAAGGAGAATATGCTAGCAACAATCTCCCCAGGACGCTACTTACCCATCGCGCCGATGTCTAAGTTGACCTAAGTAACCTCCAGATCGTAGCAACAAATAAGCAAACATAATGCTGGCAGACGAGTATTCAGACAATATGAGTATCACGCGCTTTCACGCGCTTGTATATTAGGCGGTGATATCAGGATACATTTTATATATAGAGTGCGGAGTATAGAGTATAGAGTAGAGTAAGTAGACAACACGGTGTGTGACGCATTTACCCAACACCAGTACGGACATGCGTATTGACGCGGGCGACCGTCGGGGCGAGCAAACATGCCGCGCGCTGAAACATTTTCTGCACACATCACATATACAGAACATCAGGGAGCGCCAGCGCAACGTAGCAAACCATAGGACGAACAATATTCACAACACGCGATCAAATGAGTCCCGGATGGCCGGACGTACGGCGCGCGGTCGACAATGCAATCGAGACATGGCCTCCAAGCTGAACCAGGAGGCCGGCACTGCAGTCGCATCGCTAGGGTATCCCTCAACGCCACCGTTGCGAATCAATTTGCACTCGACAAGCACAATATCGCCGACGACAAAATCAGACACGGGAAGACGATCCATACGTTCCTTGGAAGTGTACGAAGCAGTCGCATCGTACGCGCTGTCAAAAGACTTTTCGTGGATGCCCGACGCCTAAGTCAGTACAGTCGAAGGGAGACGAACGAATAGTACATACCATCAAACCCGCGGCGCCGGTAGAAGTCCAGCGTGCCTCAAAGGTGGAACGGGAAGCTGACAATATGGTTGTCACTAATGCAAAACGACACAAAATACAAGATAAGAGGAGACTCACATAGCTCTATGTCCCACACAGCCGCAAATTGGTGCAACGCCCTGTCGTCTGTATCGCGCATAAGCTCAAGTGTCACAGTAGTCACCGGCAGCGGCTCGTCCGGACCCGTATAATACTTCACACTCTGTAAATAACCGACCGCCCATACGACCAAGGGAGTAGACCACCAGCACAAAACGCCGGAGTAATCTGCGCAATTCAGTTTAGGCCCCCAAGAAAGCATACTCGGGAGGCGAGAGAGTGAGAACGTGGCCCGCGCAAGATGCTTGAAGTCTAAAAAATTGTCCACGAGACGACTTGAGAAGGAGTCAAGCGACAGCGAATAAAATAAGCGAAACAAAGGACTTACCCTGTCACCCTCCCGCCTACCCATCGCCTAACCCGCACCATGTCCGTAGTTACATCGCTCTCGCCAGAATACGTGGTATCAGCCGCGGGGTCGACGGCCACTGCTAATCCGGATGTTATAGGACCAGAATCGCTGCCCCCCGGCGTATTAACGGGGGTACGAAGAGCGGACGTAGCACCGGCCTCAGGACGCGGCGAGCTGCGACGTGCACTGGATCCGGATGGTAGTGAATCAGTAGCGATATATATAAGAGGAGCATATCGAGAACAACACGGACCGTTTGAGCGGAGGGGCATCACTGGCTGACATCGTTAGAATATTCGAGATGAGAGATAGAAGATGGAGAAAAGAAAGTCCTGCGCGAGGATGACCCACATACCTTTGCTCAACGTCTTTATATACACATCCCATCGAGTGGATGCACGCCGCAACAGCACACGATACACGAGGAATGCACATCGCGGATTGGTCGTACTCATGGTGGACACCGTTGACTGAAAAACATGAAACCGTTCGACAAGGAGCACCTGAAACACTGAAGTACAGTAAATGCAGTACAGCATCGCGCACAGCTCCAGAACTGGAAATTAAGCGCCGATGACGCAAGAACCTAGAACGAGCCTAAAGGAGTCATCGGCCCGAAGCCATGCGAGAACCACGCGATTTAATTGATCCAGCTTTTCGTCAATACTGGTGGGCAAGACCTGAACACTGGCGTGTCCAGGAACGAGCTACTCACACCCGACCTCCTCCATCAGCTCATCAAGGGCACATTCAAAGACCATCTTGTGGCGTGGGTCATCAACTACATCACGTTGACTGCGGAGAGCGAGCGTGAAGCAAAGCGGATACTCGATGATATCGATCGGCGGTTTGTTTTCTGTGACAGTGATTCTGAATCATCTGCTGATACGTTCACAGGATCGCCAGTGTCCCCGCATTTCCTGGGCTACGGCGCTTTCCGCAAGGGCGAAATTTCAAGCAGTGGACGGGCAACGACTCGAAGGCACTCATGAAGGCCTGTGCGATCCGGTTTGTTTCTCGTAATGTTTGCTTACTATGTATCCTTGCAGGTCTTCCTGCCGGTGCTAACCGGATACGTTCCTGACAAGATGATACGCTGTCTTGATGCGTTCCTCGAGTTCGCATACCTTGCGAGGCGCCCCTCTCACGACACCACCTCCCTCGACGCCATGGATGCTGCGTTGGCACGCTTCTGCGAGCTTCGCTCAATCTTCGTCGAGACTGGTGTGCGACCGAACGGTTTTGCGCTACCCCGACAACACGCACTTCTCCATTATACCCGGATGATCAAGCTCTTTGGGTCGCCCAACGGTGTGTGCACTTCAATCAGCGAGTCGAAGCACATCGCTGCTGTGAAGCGTCCTTGGCGTGCATCGAACCGCAACAACCCGCTATTGCAAATCCTTCGCACAAACACACGTCTCACGAAGCTCGCTGCGCTACGTGTCGAGCTAGGCCGTCGTGGCTTGTTGCATGGGGATTTGATCTCTTACGCCCTTCGCAAGGTGAGTCTGACCCATTTTGCTTCCGATTGGTGCACCTGATCCAAGCATGGCATACAGGTGGGCCTCGCACCGCCGCAAGATGCTCAATTGGAGCGCGAAGAGCTACACGCAAATGAACAAGATGTCGCTGATGAGGCC